AGAAGGACGACATCGTATTAAGCCATCGCTGTCTTCTATTGATGAAACGTCTCCGTTTTGCTCCAAAGCAGCTTTCCGGATTAGAGCAAAACGCCGCCGTTTCTCCTGGGCTAGTGATCCTCGGTTGCAAACATCTTCAGCCTGCAGCAGCTGCTTCCTGCACTTCTCTTCTGGTTCAATCCTCAGCTGCTGCTGCTCATTCATCTATTACCCCCCTTCAAGCTGGCGAGTGTCTTCCAGAGACTCCCAGCTTGCACATCAACATGTTAAAGCGATCTATACCAAGGCTTTTGGTAAAGATGTCTGCTAACTGGTAGGTAGTTGAAACATGTCTCAAATCAAGCAAACCATTCATCAGTCTCTCTCTAATGACATGACAATCAACCTCAATGTGTTTCGTTCGCTCATGAAACACTGGATTCCTGGCAATGTGTATTGCTGACTGATTGTCACAGTAAACCAAGGCTGGTTGAGAGTGAGCAATTCCAAAGTCAGAAAGCAATCTTACCAACCACTGAACTTCACAACTGAGCTGAGCCAAAGCTCGATATTCTGCCTCTGAGGAAGATCTGGAAACTGTACTCTGCTTCTTTGTTTTCCAACTAATCAAACTTGTCCCCAGAAAAACACAAAACCCTGTCAAAGATCTTCTTGAATCAGGACATGTGGCCCAGTCAGAATCACTATACCTTGTTAATTGCACAGCAGAATCCTTGGAATAGAACAAGCCTTGACCAGGTGAATTACTCAAGTACCTAAACACCCTTTGCAGAGCTTTATAGTGAACTGTGGTTGGAGAATCTTGGAATTGGCAAAGCTGTTGAACAGCAAAGCTTATGTCTGGTCTAGTACTTGTCAGATACTGCAACTGTCCCAACAAGTGTTTAAACTTGCTAACCTCTAGAAAAGGATCACCATCTGAGGCTGAAAGGACCTGCTTTATGCTGGAAGGGGTTTTTGCAGGTTTGCACTCATCAAATCCTGCCTCCTTCAAGAGTTCTGTGCAATACTTCTTTTGAGAAACATGAATCCCTGTGGCAGTTTTGTTTACTTCCAAGCCAAGGAAATACTGCAACTCTCCTAAGTCCTTCATTTTAAACAAGGACTTCAGCATATTCTTAACTGCAATTACTGCTTCCAGATTCACACTACCAACCACAATATCATCCACATAGACAATAAGGACAACCAAATGTCCCTTAATCTCTGTTAAGAAAATTGAATAATCAGACATGGATTGTCTGAATCCATTAGCAAGCAAAGATTCTGTTAATTTAGCATACCACATCCTGCTGGCTTGCTTTAAACCATAGAGAGACTTTTTCAACTTGCAAACCTTCCCCTTGTACTCAGGCTTATCCCTCATGCCTTCTGGTAATTCCATGTACACATCTTCCTCCAATTCACCATTCAAGAAAGCATTGTTAACATCCATTTGATGCAAATGCCAGTTGTTAACAGATGCAACAGCCAGCAACATTTTTACAGAAGTCAGCTTGGCCACAGGTGAGAAAGTATCACAATAATCAATGCCATACACTTGTGTGTATCCTTTGGCAACCAAACGTGCTTTAAATCTCTCAATTGTTCCATCAGGATTGTACTTGATCCTGAAAACCCACCTGTTACCAACTGCCTTCACTCCCCCTGGCAAGTCAGTAATGTCCCAAGTATTATTGTCAAACAATGCTTGCAGTTCCTTAATCATGGGTGCATTCCACCTAGGGTCTTGAGCAGCCTCAGCATAACAGGAAGGCTCAAAGGCTGCTGCAAGGGTTAAAGCAAAGTGCTGTTGTTGTAGTGAAAGATGAGCCAAGTCTTGAGGGATAACCAACTTGGGACCAAAACTGACTTGGTTCAAACCCACATAGAAATCATCATACTTCTTAGGAAATGTTACTTGCCTTGTTGACTTTCTAAGGGGTACTACTGGTGTGGTTGGAGGAGTGAGAGGAGGAGTAGGAGTGTGAGACAAATCAGAAGAAGAAGAGGAGGAACCCCTAACTGAAGTGTCTGGACTTGTAGGAGAAGGAAAAACTGGTGAAGTAAACTGAGGTGATGTGGTGACAGAAGGAGAAGGATATTCTGTCAACTCAGGTTCAAGAGCTGGTGAAGAACCAGAACAAGAAGATTCTTCTGGAGGTGAAGAAGACAAAGGAACAGAAGAAGGCTGTGAGGGAAGCTCTTCTTCTGTAGAATCTGAGTCAGATGTGCCTGTTTTGAAAGGCAAAATCTGCTCATGAAAAACAACATCTCTGTTAACAAAGACCTTGTTGGTAGCTAGATCCAACAACTTGTATCCCTTAATGCCATTAGGGATTCCTAGAAACACACACTGTCTAGACCTAGGATCAAATTTAGACTTGTGACCCTCTACTGCTGTAGCATAAGCTAAACAGCCAAACACCTTTAAGTTCATATAGTCAGGGGGAACTTTATGCAGGAATTCAAATGGTGTTTTGTGGTCTAGAATAGGTGTTGGTGTTCTGTTAATCAGGTATGCTGCATGAAGAACAAAATCTTCCCCGAAAACCAAAGGCAAACCTGATTGAAACTTCAAAGATCTAGCTACATTGAGCAAATGCTGGTGTTTTCTCTCTACCCTCCCATTTTGTTGAGCTGTATAGACACAGCTCATTTCATGAACAATACCATGAGCTGAATAAAAATCAGTCATGTGGAACTCTTGGCCTTGATCTGTTCTAACTCTTTTAACAGAAATAGAAAACTGGTTTTGAACCATAACACAGAAAGATTGAAGAGATGGCCTGGCCTCAGCCTTTGATATAAGGAGGAAAACCCACACTGCTCTACTGTAATCATCCACAACAGTGAGGAAATAAGCGAAACCATTTCTAGAAACTGTATTCAATGGTCCCCAAATGTCAACATGCACAAGTTCAAAAGCATGAGTGCTAACTGAGGTGCTTACAGGAAATGACAACCTCTTTTGCTTAGCCAAATGACAAACCTCACAGTGTTGTGTTAAAGGTAAGGAAACATCATTACAACTTTGTTTAACTACTCTCAATCTAGACAAGGAAGGGTGTCCTAATCTGGCATGCCAGATGTTAAAATCTTGGTTCTGGAAATTAAACACTCCTGCTGCAAACTTCTGGGAATCCTTAGAAACTTCAAACTCCTGACTCCTGGACTCTGTAAACAGGTAAAGACCTCTACTGACTTGGGCTAAACCAATCCTCCTCCGAGTAATAAGGTCCTGGATCAAACAGAAGTTTGATTTGAAGGTTAATGAAACTGGATGGTTTTGAGTTAATTTGCTTACAGAAACAAGATTGTAAGCAAAAGAAGGAACAAACAGAACTTGAGTAATGAATAACCCACAAGGCAAAGTAAAAATTCCTATGTGAGTTGCTTGGACTTGCTGTCCATTTGGTAGATTCACAAACACTTGATTCAAAGCTCTATGCTTCATAAAGAAACTCTTATCACATATGATGTGATCTGTTGCCCCTGTATCCAGGACCCAAACTGTACTACGAGGTGATTCAACCATAGTAGAGAGAGCTTGTTTACCTGAAGAATTAGAGGCATAAGTTGCTGGAGCCTGAAAACCAGCAGATTTCTTCCCAGAGTGAGAAGCAGACTGTGAACCTCTTACTGCCACAGCAGCATGATGCATTCCAGGTGAATTTGGTGGTGAGGGTGATGCAGAAGGTGATCTGGTGAGCATGGTTCTGAGCTGCTCAAACTGGTTGGGAGTAAGCAGACTCATCAAATGTGCTTCCCCCTTACCTCCACCAGAACCAGTTGTATGAGTACCACCTGATTCAGACAGTGTGGTTTCAACTGATCCAGCAAAGGAACTTTCACCATCTTTGCTTTGTTTGTTCTTCAACTTATAACATTCATCGATGGTGTGATATTCCTTCTTGCAAAACCTACAAAACTTTTTCCCATCCTTGTAATCTCTGGGATTTCTTCCACCTTGTCCACCCTTCTGTTGCTTGTTTGGCTGCCCTGCCATCAAAGCCACTGATTCAACACGCCCCTTTTCCTTTTCAGAACTCATAGCCTTCATTTGTCTCTCCAATTGAACCATTTGCTTGAAAACTGACTCAATAGGAGGTAACTGAGCATTCATCAGAACCTGTGTTCTGGCTGTTTGATAGGTATCATTAAGTCCTTGCATAAACATAATGATAAGATCATGCTCTTGATATCTTTGAACAGTGAAAAAGGGACTATTAGGGCATGGACAACAAGAAATAGGCCTATACATCTTATACTCCTGCCACTTAGTAGTAAGTGCAGTGTAGTATTGAGTAACAGTGAGATTTCCTTGCACACACTTCCCAATCTGTTCATTCAATTCATAGACTCTCATGTTGTCTGCTTGACTAAATCTGTCCTTCAAGTTATCCCACACATCTTTAGCCACTTTGTAAGGGACAACACTGTTAGCAATGTCATCAGAAAGAGAATTATAGATCCAACAGCGCACTGTGCTATCACATCTATGCCATGACTGCCAAATAGGGTCTCCAATCTGAGGTACTGGAATCAACCCATTCACAAACTGCAGTTTGTTCTTAGTACTAAGTGCTAGCTCCATTACCTGACTCCAGAGATTGTAGTTCTGGTCAGTGAGCTTCATAGAGATGATGGTAGTCAAGCCGCCATCGTGAGGAGGTAAGTAGTAGGGGTTAAGATATGGATCTTCATAGCGAGGAACCACAGGAGGAACAAATTGATCCATCTGACGTCGGGAGTTGACGCCCTGAGGTGTTCGTGGAAGAGTAGCGTCGTTGGCAGAGGCGATTTCATCTTCAGTCTCTACCTCATCAGCTACAAACCCATCAACTTGAGCTTCTGGAATCGACATCAGTGAATCGTAAAAGGGGAAAGAAGTAGTGTAGAAACCTGGATCTGGGTTACCAGAGCCAACCAGGCTCTGATACCATGAGAAGAAAAGAAGAACAGCAGAGTATTGCTAGGGTTTTTGGTGAAGGTTCTCAAATCTTGAGAGCTTCGTTTTCTGCATTTCTCAATATATACCCAACAGCCTTTACAGAGGAAAGTGGAAACTAACGGCTAATCTACAGTATTAACTAACTAATGAAAACAACCAATAAAACAAAAGCACGTGTCCACAAGACACAATTAAACTTGCAATCAACGAACTAAGAAGGACGACATCGTATTAAGCCATCGCTGTCTTCTATTGATGAAACGTCTCCGTTTTGCTCCAAAGCAGCTTTCCGGATTAGAGCAAAACGCCGCCGTTTCTCCTGGGCTAGTGATCCTCGGTTGCAAACATCTTCAGCCTGCAGCAGCTGCTTCCTGCACTTCTCTTCTGGTTCAATCCTCAGCTGCTGCTGCTCATTCATCTATTACACCGAGAGACCAAATTAAGCCACATACTTGGACACAGTAACCTATTCTGCAGCATTTGTGCTTCATGATTTTCTTTTGCTACCTCAATTCCAATCACGACAACAGCTGATTAATTGTCCTAATTCACCAACTATATGCTCAACGAAACGAATGAGAACCATTATTATTATTATTTAGATTAATAGAACGATACAATAGCACTAAAAGGAGTCAAAGGACATACTTTTTTTCTGATCTACCACATAGCAGCAGCAGCTCAATCTCCATCACAAACACAATAACACAAAACCTTTTCCACCTGATATAATTATGCTGAACATCAACCCATTACATAAATCTCGAATGTAGTATTTCTAAGATAAAATGGCCGTCAAAATGTTGTGGTAACAAGTCTCAGAGCAGAATATGTCAAATTGTACCTCCCATCATTGCTTGGTTACTGCATTGGCTGTGTACCACTTGTAAGTATCAACCAGGCCATCCCTAAGCGAAACCTTCGGCTTCCAACCCATTCCCAGCAGCTTCGAGCTATCCATCAACTTCCTCGGAGTTCCATCTGGCTTCGAGCTGTCCCAAACGAGTTCCCCTTCAAACCCAACAACTTCCTTCACCAACTCTGCAAGCTCCTTAATGCTCACTTCCTTCCCACTCCCAACATTGAGATGCTCCAACCCACTGTACTCCTCCATCATAAAAACCACCGCCTCAGCCAAATCATCCACATGAAGGAACTCCCTCAACGGGCTCCCCGTCCCCCACACCACCACTTCCTTCGCGCCATTCACCTTCGCCTCGTGAAACCTCCTCATCAATGCTGGCAAGACGTGTGAATTCTCAGGGTGGAAATTGTCGTTGGGTCCGTACAAGTTCGTTGGCATCCCAGAGATTGCATCCCAGCTGTACTGAACCCTGTAACCCTGACACATCTTGATGCCAGCGATCTTGGCCACCGCATACCACTCGTTCGTCGGCTCTAAAGGCCCTGTGAGCAAAGCCTCTTCCGGGATAGGCTGAGGGGCCAGTTTCGGGTAGATGCAGGATGAGCCCAGAAAGAGGAGCTTCTTGACTCCATGCTTGTAAGCAGAGTCGATGACGTTGGTCTGGATCTGGAGATTAATGGCTATGAAATCCGCAGGGTATGTGTTGTTGGCGTGAATGCCACCGACTTTGGCAGCTGCCAGGATCACAAAGTCTGGCTTTTCAGCAGCAAAGAATGAGTCCACATCGGCTTGACGAGTGAGATCGAGCTCAGAGTGGGTTCGGAGTAGGAGGTTGGCGAACCCCAGAGACTGGAGCTTCCGGACGATGGCAGAACCCACGAGTCCACGATGGCCAGCTACAAAGACCTTGGCTGATTTGTCGGACAAGAAAGGAGATCTCTCTGCAAACATAACACAGTAGCTGCCATTCAAACACCACAACTTCGTTGCAGTAGACCACAGAGCAATGGAAAACATCTACCCAACAGATTCAAAATTTATTTGGTTCCATCATCTAAATTAATGCATACTAATATGATTACTCACTCGTCCAACCCTAAGTCAAGCGGATTCAAAGTTCTGCAATGCACTGAATTTCACAAATAATTGGACAGCAGAGGAGTTCAGTTCCAAGTTCAGCAAAATGGCAGTCACACAAGCATTTACCTGATCTAGAGCGCTGACAATCTGAGGATCCCATTTTCTCTCAAGGAACAAACCTGTGTAGAACAAGATCGCCAATTGGATTTAGGGGAAAAAAGCTATCACCAGAATGAAGTCCAAGTAAAGCAAACAAGCACTCGTAAGAAGCAGTGTCCAAATCTAACTCACCGGTAATGAGGCGACTACCGGGGGAAAAGTTGCAGAGACGCAGCCAGCAGCGAGTGCCAATTGAACTGGAGTAGATGGGCTTGGCAATGGGGAAACTGACTGGTCTTTTATATTGAAATCTCTTAACTGCCAGTCTCCCGGGAAGTTGTAATCCGCACCGACTGGATCCGTGAAGGCCGCCGGCGAGCGATTGACTCAGGCGGAGTTGATTAAGAAGGAAGAAAGAGAGCTTAGATCAGAAAACAAACAATATGCGGCGAAGAAGGAGATTCAGAGAGATTTATAATGGGTAAATTGCAAAGTTTGGTCAGTGAAATTACTAACCAATATCACGTTTGTCATTCAAATTAATTTATCCTATTTATGGTCACTAAAATTCGTTTAACCGTTTAAATTTGGTCACTCTTCGTTAACTTCTGTTGATGTGACAGTCAACTCTTATAGTTGACCGTTAAACTAGTGACGTGACAAATAAAAATAATAAAAAATTAAAATTTAATGTTTTAAATTTTCCACATGAATACATTTACAAATAAAAATAAAAAAATGTCTCATCCCCACCAAAACCCACAGGGAATAATTCCCCCGGCCGAAGTTGTCGCTGCCTGTTCCGATTGTGTTGTTGGCTTCTCCATCCAGACATATAAAGTGGGATGCAGATCTCAACTGGCAACGATAATAAATGTAAGGCAAAATATACTTCAATAGCCAAAACTTTCGCGTTTGTGACAATAATAGCCACTTTTGAGAAAATACCAGATATAACCACATTTTAATAACTTGTTTGACAAATTTAGCCATTTTCGTCAAATAATTTAACATCGTTAACGATTCCGTCAGTTAAATAGACGTTAGGCTGATGTGGCTTCCACCTAGACGACACATAATGTCCACATAGACTCGCCATACCACATGGCTGCCACATCATGTTTTAAAATTAAAAAATATATATTTTTTGTATGCAGAATTTAATTTAATCTCTCTTCTTTTTTTTGGGTAGAAAATCTCTCTTTTTATTGCGACAAGAATCCGGCAGCTTCTAGCGTCCTCTGCATCGTCGTCGCCGTCGATTCATCACCCCTGCCAAAGACGATATCAACGATAGAAGTATATCCAATCTTCGCCGTTGAATCAGGCTGCAGGTAGATCCAATCTTCGCCCCTGAATCGGGCAAGGACCCCAGCTGAAAAACCCAGCGAGGAAGTCCAGTCTTCGACCTCTCTCTATTACGAAACACCCCTGTTTCTCACCACCGTCGTAGCCTAAAAAACAAGATCGCCATGGCCAAAAGTCGCTTCCACTTCCTCTCTAGCACCCCCTCCCCCAATGCTCTACCATTGCCAGACCCACCACCGAAATCCAAAATCTGAAATCGCACAACAAAGTTCTTGCCGACTATGGCGTATGAACTGCAATCTCGCCGGATCAAAGACCCTCGAACGAGTTCTTCATCCTGAAAAGCAGATCTGGACGGCGCGGCGGAAGGGGTGGTAGGCGACGATGATTGAACATTGATTTGAAGTAGGGGTTGAGAAGAGGATTGGGAGAGTTTTGGGTGGGGATTTTTTTAGGAGTTTAGATAATCTCAACAGAGAAGGGTAGGTGTAGGGAATTGGGGTTCTTGGTTTTGAAATGGAGAAGGGTTTGGGGTTCTTGGAGTAGTGGAGAATGTGGACGATGATGGAGTAGAGGGTAGGTGGAAAGATTTGTTGGGATTTTGGCTTTGAAAGGAAGAAGGTTTGGGGGTTCTTGGAGCAGTGGAGGATGGGGACGATGATGGAGCATACGGAGGTAGGTGGAAGTAGAGTTTTTAATTAAAAATGGTCTTTAATTGTTTTTATTTTCATTAATTTTTATTTATTTATTTATCTACGTGGCAGTGTTATTGATGAAATGTCGCCAAATCAGCAAAGTCGTTAGTCCAGTCAGCTTGTTAGCTGACACCGTTAAAGAATTGGACGGAAGTGGCTATAAGTGGTATTTCTCCAAAATTGGCTATTATTGGCAAAAACACGAAAGTTTTGGCTATACAAGTGTATTTTGCCTAAATGTAAAAAGAGAATTATTTGGACAAAACTACTGCACAAATCGGTGGAGCTATTCCATGTGCTTAGGACGGATAGATTGTTCAAAATGTTTTAAATCTTTAGGAGGGTTTGACCTTGGGACTAGAGGTGGCAATTTCAATCCAATCCACCAATCCAATCCATCAATCCATTAAAAATATCCACCTAATCCAATCCATTTAAATCCAATCCATTTGATCCAAATCAAATTGGATTGGTGGATTCATGGATTGGATCCATGGATCATTGGCAAATTACGATTTAGTACCTATAATTTTTATTTTTTACATTTTGGTACCTAAAATTTATTTTTTTATACGAAAAATATCATTGTAAAATTACGTTTTGGTACCTAAAATTTTTCATTGTGACATTTTAGTACCTAAACTTTTTATATTTTACATATTGGTCCTTGGTTGAGGATGTCATTTGGATTCATGGATAATCCACCAATCCACTTGATCCAATCCATGAATCCACCAATCCATTAGATCCAATCCTTTTGATCCATGGATCCACCAATCCAATCCACCAATCCAATCCATTTGCCACCTCTACTTGGGACGGTTGGAGTTGCTCTCAGTGATTAATTGAAAGGGAGATGATTAGGAGAAACATTTATGATGAGGCTGGGAGCTGCGAAGAGGAGAGTATCTTTTATGAGACTCCCAAATCCTCATGAGCAAATTTCAAAAACAGTGCGTCTACAACCCATCTTGTTAAAAAGAGAAAGGGATTTCTTGAAATCAACCACAAAACCCACTTCAGAGGAAGAGTTAGAGGAAGAAAAGAACATAAAGACAAAGCTATTTATTCCCCCTGAAACTTGCATCCGACGACTCCTCCGGAGCAGGCAACGACTGTGACGACCTAGCAGTGTGGCGTGAATAAGAACTTGCGGAGTAGCTTGTCGGCGACTTCGAGGATCCGACAGAAGTTTGCATGTTTGAGATCGGGATCTCGCGGACGACAACGTGAGAGATGGACGGGGAAGCGATCATTGCGAGGGAAGCAAGGAGGATCAAGGAGAATCTTGAGCGGACGAAATCGAGCTTATGCATTACCTGGTATGTCTCGATGGAGAGGTCGGCGACTCCGCCAGAGCAGGCCGCGAGGCATTATTCCCGGTTGGTTTTGGTGGGGATAAGAAATTTTTTATTTTTATTTTGTAAATGTATTCATGACGTGGAAAATTTAAAACATTTAATTTTAATTTATTATTATTTTTTATTTTCCACGTCACTCGTCTAACGGTCAACTATAAGAGTTGACTGCCACATCATTAAAAGTTAATGGAGACTAACGGAGAGTGACCAAACTTGAACTGTTGAACTAATCTTCGATCCCTATGCAGTAGCCAGTAGGCAGTATTAATCAATGCCATCTTACAATATAATCCTCTGGAATAACTACCACTTAGTACCCATAAATCTCAACTATTACATATGGGATTCGACAATTATTTTTTTTTTTGGCAGTTTAGAGTTGAAAAATCAGAGTCTTTCCTAGGCCCTAGAGAAGGCTCGTTGCCGGCTTCTGCTCTAAAACAGTTCGGATGGATAAGTCCAAGTTTGTCAACCCGCGTGTCGACTCGAAGCTAGTGGAGATAGTGAATTAAAGGTTCATAGGTCACTCGTTTTAACCCGATTTAGTCCGGTTTAGCCCGGAAATATGAAAATAGTAATGATATTATACTTATCTTGCATCTAAAATATAAAAAAATACAACACTACTTAAACTCCAACACACTTAAATAACATCAACTTAAATTCAACTTAGTAAAAATTCAACGACACTTCGAAACGAGAGCCCGCTGACCAGCTCGGATGGGCAAATCGCCTGGATTTTTCAGGGTTTGGCCGGGTTTGACCATTTTTGGGCTAACTCACAAATGGACTGTTCTAGCCCGTTTTCAGGAGCGGGTCCGGGCCAACCTGGCTCGACCAGCAGGTTGACAAACTTGGATAAGTCACACAATTTCATCCGAGTCTTGATTCAAAGGAGATTATCACCCCTACCTGGTTACTAACCGGCGGGTACTCAATATACCGAATAATCGAAACTCAACTTTCCTTATATTTGGCCCGGGTTTTAGAAATGCTTTTCGACTTTAAAAGCCGAAGCAGGGCCAAACACCTCTAAAAGCTCCGCTTTTGAAAATCGAAAAAAAGTTTTTGTATAACATAAAAGCAGAAACCTTCTGCAAGAAATTGTTTTGAAAATACAAGATTATCCTTCCATATTTTAATTTTATTTCATAAAATATAATTTTATTTCATTTATATCATTTTAAAAATAAAATAAATTATAAAATCATACTATTTAATATAAAAGAAATCTAACAAGATCAATTTTAACTACTTCTTATTGTTTACAATTTTTATTTATATTTTATATTATAAGTCCATTATAGTCATTTGACACAACCTCTCATTAAAAAATACTTATAATAGTTTTTGTGCCAAACACCAAACTGCTTTTTTGAAAAATACTTCACTAACAGCTTCAGTCAGAAGCTGTTTCTGCAAAAGTTACAACAGGGCCAAAATAGCCCCTTGTCTCTTCATATGTAGCTAAGGCCTAAGGGCATGTTTGAAAGTTACAATTCTCTAAATTGATGTATTTAATCAATGTACGTATTATAGTTAGATGCGTTGTTTCAATGTATGAATTTACAAAATATATTGTTTGGAGATTGAATGATTTTGGTGGTTCCTCAAAGAATATTATGGAAGAAAAAGTAAGCTTACAATCCCTCAAACACAATCTCTGCTAAAAGCTGAGATTGACAATCATTCAAAATTGCTATTCTGGTCTAAACTATGTAGCAAACTTCCTCATTTGGCCTGGAGGCGGGTTTGACCGTTAAATTAGACGGTCAAATTTGTTGACTGTTAGTCAATGTCCACTTCACCTGCCACGTCAGCTTTGAGGACATAAAAAATATATTTTTTTTATATTTCTGAATTTTGTTTTCTTGTCATTTGCTAAAAATGGGCCCTTTTTCGTTCTTTTAATTAATTTTTTTGATTTGTTATTTTTATTAATCGAAAGAAAACAAAATTCAGAAATAAAAAAATAATTTTTTATGTCCTCAAAGCTGACGAGGCAGGTGAGGTGGACATTGACTAACGGTCAACAGGTTTGACCGTCTAATTTGACGGTCAAACCCACCTCCGGGCCAAATAAGGAAGTTTGCTACATAGTTCAGGCCAGAATAGCAATTTTCAATACCACGGGC